AGGTGCTCCTTCGCCTCAGTCCCACCACGTTCCTGGCCGCCATCACGTCCACGAGAGCTCAGGAAGTCGATCTCAGTTTCCCCAAGTTCAGGGTCGGGACTGTCGTGCAACGGGATCTCTTAACGGTAGGAGAGGACGGAAGGAACAGGTCTTGTCGACTGGTTATGGTGCTTCACAGAGCTTCATTCGAGACCAGGGCTGAGCTAGGGCCGTGTGCTGCTTGGCTTTTGGACGCGGTGTTCTAATTCTTCTTTCTCTTATTCTCTGAGGCACTGGCGGTTGCTCATTCCGGCGAAGGCTTTGTAAAATTTGCGGTAGTCGTCAGTCATTTCGTGAGCTTCCTTATATACATATATATATATATATATATATATATATATATATATATATATATATATATATATATATATATATATATATATATATGTATATATATATGTATATATATGTATATATATATATATATATATATATATATATATATATATATATATATATAGAGAGAGAGAGAGAGAGAGAGAGAGAGAGAGAGAGAGAGAGAGAGAATGTAAATATGTATAAGTTTTTGTGTCTGTATTTTTGAGTTGTTTTTGTGTGCATGTGAATGACGCTGGTTATGTCAGGAGAATAACCATGATCATAATAATAACACTAATAGAAGTAATAGTAACAACATTAGAAACGATGTTGAAAATACCCAATGATAACAGCGCAAACAGTTGTAATTTGAAAGTAATAATAACAGCAGTACTATCGATACTACAATACCAGCAGAAAAATTAAAGGAATAAAAATAACATCATTAGACAGAAAAATGCTTTTCCCTCCGCAGGCTCTCGCGCGAATGGGGATCAACGACCTGTTTGCGGCGACCAGTGACCTGACGACCTTCTTCGCCGGGGGAGGGCGCCACCGGCTGGACTGGGCTCTCCACACGGCAGCGCTGGAGGTGGACGAGCGAGGGGCCTCGTCGGCGGCGGTCGCAGGAGCCTCTCGTGCTCCGGTCTCGACGCAGGAGCCTGTGCCCTTCCGCTGCGACAGGCCCTTCGCCTTCCTGGTTTACGACAATGTGAATCGCAACATTCTCTTTGCTGGGGTCTTCAGACTGCCGTGAGTCCCAACCGAGGGGGGGGGGGGCTGTTGGGCGTGATGGAGGCGGCAAATAAATATATCTGTATCTATCTGTCTGTCTGTCAGTCTACCTGGCTCTCGATATATAGCTATATCTATGTCTATCTATCTATCTCTCTCTTTTAAATTTCTTTTCCTCTCCTTCCCTCTCTCTCCACACACGTACTCGCACACTCACACACGCACGCACACACATACTCTTGCGTGTATGAATGTGTGCGTCTCTCTCTCTCTCTCTCTCTCTCTCTCTCTCTCTATATATATATATATATATATATATATATATATATATATATATATATGTATATATATATATATATATATACACACACACATATGTATATATATATATATATATATATATATATATATATATATATATATATATATATATATATATATATACACACACACATATGTATATATATATTCCCACGAAAGTGTGTTTATATTGCTCTCATGTACTACGAGCGCATTTCCTCTTCAGATGCGCAGCTCCTGATTGTGATACGAAATAGGTTAGTTCTCTCGGTTCTTGGCCTCGAATTGGTTCGAGTCCATTTAGTGATGCTCAGGCCTGTCAGAAGTGCAAACCGACCAGCATGACTAAAGGTTTGTAGAATTCATCAGCTGTTTCATTTCCTCATTCCAATATATCTCTGGAAATGGGATTTATTTATACGGCAAATAAAAGACGATATATCTACAAAATTTATTATCAAGTGTAATTTTAAATAGAATCATAAATAAGTAAATAAATAGGGATTAACAATTAATATGAGTAGGATGTGTGAGAAGGAATTTGATTTACACATTTGATTGAAGAAGTTGCTCACCTGACCTTGCTAAAGACACCAGAGTTTTGTAATTTGACTTTTTCCCAAGAAACATGGATTATTTTGCAACAAGAACAGTTCTCCAGACTCCAATAAAAGAATATATATACATACTGAAGAAATATTAATCGACTTGTTATTATTGTGTCTATGAAAATGCTTGAAAATATAGTGAATTTTGGAGATTTGAGGAGACGTACTGTAGCTCTGTGAGGGAGATGAAGACGTGAACACAGCTGATAGAAATTTTTAGTTCATACAACAGTGCATTCCCGGTATGTACAGAACATGGTATACAGAGAAAAAGATCCATAATACAATACGGTCTTTATCATCAACACGCAACCATTGAAGTATAAAATCAACATAAACATCATAGAATCAGCTTATGTGTTCCACATATTTTTCACTGATTGTGACAATAAATATATCTAATTCTGGACTATCTCCCCCCCACCCCCAAAAAAAAAACGCCAGCTCTTTTACCAACGTTTTTTTTTCTTTTTTTTTTGAGTTTGGTGTCAACATCTGTGAATACACTTTAGCCACGTACTACATTCCGATAAGTATGGGACAAAAATCCTGCCAGTTATGCGACGTTATAGTATGTTAGTCACGAAACACGCATTCTGTTAGTCTGAAACCGTAACATCCAAATATCAATAAGTTAAAACATATATATCCGCGATCTTACATAAATCTTCATATGTTGTACTACGTTATCTAATCCTACTAAACAGAGTTAGAGGAATCAGAAGCATAATTGCTCCACGGTCTATAACATACAGAAATATATATATATAGATTATTGTCTATAAATAGACATGTATTTGATCTGCAGGGCTATGTATCTTTGTGTGTGTGTGTGTGTGTGTTTGTGTTTGTGTGTGTGTGTGTGTGTGTGTGTGTGTGTGTGTGTGTGTGTGTGTGTGTGTGTGTGTGTGTGTGTGTGTGTGTGTGTTTGTTTGTGTGTGTGTGTGTGTGTGTGTGTGTGTGTGTGTGTGTGTGTGTGTGTGTGTGTGTGTGTGTGTGTGTGTGTGTGTGTGTGCGGGTATGGATGGGATTGTTTTTATATTAATAAATAAAACATGTAAAACAAAAATACAATGCTTGTAATACTGTACTGACAACGAATAATAATAATATTATTATCATAATTCCCTTTCTTACAAGTTAATACTTAAGTGCATCTTGTGAGAGGTCTGTATATATACAGAGCAAATGAGGGACACGGGAGGAGGGAGAGGTATGGGGAAAGGGAAAGGGGAAGTGAACTAAGAAAAAATAACAACTGCAACAATAACAACAACAACAACAAAGACGATAACATGAGCAGCTCCAGGCCACTCTTGGCAACCCGCGTCTGTTTCCCCTGAACATTATCTGAGCCCAAAGTCACCCACAGTTTCACGTAAAGCGCGTGAGTCTCCCTATGTGAGAAAAAGTATTTACATAAGCGATCCCTTTAATACACGGAAGTGTGTTTTCGAGTGATGAATATAAAGGTATGATTTATCACTCTTTTTTTCTTCCCCTTTATCGTATTTGTTTTTTTCTCCGTTTAATTCAAGGGATTTGGAAGCATGATCTTGGCTAATAGATTTGTGGCTGTTTGATTATCTTGTATTGTCTTTACATGTTTTTTTTTATGTTCGTATATATCATGGTGATTTCTATTCTCGTAATGAATTCATTCCCACGATTTGTGCTTACCGATATCGAGAGATACTTTACCATTCACCATTTCCATATTTTCATAAGTGATGAAACCCTATGACAAAAAACACGAAGTTTGAAAGTGGCACTTCGATGCCATCCTATCACCGGTGCCAGAGTTCGTCGCTCTCTCACACTCGCGTAACTTTCTCTCCTCAAGACCTTCTTAGCTCCGACCTTCTTCCACTTGGACTTTCTCCCCTTTATTCGTTTCTTTTCTCTCTCTCTCTCTCATCATTCTGCGAACTCATCTTCTCTCGCCTCGCTCCACCTCCCTGAAAAGTCTTCCGAATTCGTCCGAGCCATTTTCCTCAGTACTCTTGCATCATCCTCATCATCCTCGCCTTCTCGTCCGGGTTGAACTTGCCCACGACCGACCTCACGCCGCGCTCCGTCAGTGTCCAGGCCTTGTTGACGAAGTAGTTCTTGAGGCAGAAGTAGGGCGAGAGGACCTCCTCCACCAGGGTGTCGTCCACGCGGCCCAGCGAGCTCAGGCGCGTCACCTCTCGGATGGACGCGACACCGCTCTCTCCGGGCGCCTGCGGGGACAAGGCGACGTCAGGGATTTGGTTATTTAGATGCAGGTTGGATTTGCAGGTGAAAAAAAAGTGTTGGTTGTTGGCTATCATTGAGTAAACATTTATTGCAAGTGGTGAAAGGTGTTGGTTATCATCAAGGTGTACTTGTAGGTGAGACTAATTACTGGATATAGTTTTTTTGTTATCGTAGGTGTGGATATATGTGGTGCAAATATGCCGTGGTTAAATCATCGATGGTACATAGCAAATTGGAGGGTGAGGGTTGTTTGAGCAGTATAACAGGTGAGACATTTATCGCTGGAGTGATGGTAAATGGTGAACAACCTGACCTCACGCAAACAACCAATCACGCGCAGGCTAGTTCAGATTATCCAAATGAAATAAATGATGTTCAAAAACACTAACCCACTGATCAAGACGCAAACAGACACACCCCATCCGCGACCCACAAACCCCACAAACCCCACAAAAGCCCCACTCCAGTCCCGCCACAAGCGCGCCAAACCTCACCTTGCCGATGATGCTGATGAAGACGGGTCTGATGAACTCGAGCACCATGTCCACGAAGCTCTTGGCATCCTGCTTCTCCAGGATCTGCGGGGGCTTCTGGGGCTTCTTCACGGGCGGCTTCGGGCGGGCGGTGCTCTGGGGTCTGGAGGAGCCGCCGAAGAGGAGCTGCAGGATGTTCCCGACGCCGATGGGGGAGCTGCCGCCGGAGGGGGAGGAGGACGAGGACGAGGGGGTGGGCGGGGCTGCTGGGGCGCGCGTGGGTGGAGGG